ACTTTCCTAAGAGTTCCTTCCTCTGTGGAAAAGAACCCTCTACTCCAAGGAGATCAATAGGTGAAAAATACAGGTGAAGGCTGACGTGGGAGCAATCTAGTGATAACTACAACTATGTAAGGCTTGTGTAAGACATCTGATAGGTAATAGAGTAAGTTAAGACTATAGGAGACTTCTGAACAAAAGTGTGGGGTTGCAGTCTGCTCCTATAACCAGTCCTAAAGTTTAAGGGTAGTGCTGTAAAGGAAAGGAAAGTTTGGGATAGGGCCCAATATTATAAATAATAACAATAGCCACCATGCTTTAAGATTTTGCTACGTGTGTGGCAATGTGCTAAGTACTCTGCAAATACATATAAATACAAAAAAAAAAAAAAAAAAAAAAAAAAAAAAAAAAAAAAAAAAAAAAAAAAAAAAAAAAAAAAAAAAAAAAATACATTTTGCAAGGTGGGTATTATCCTTATCATATAGTTGTAAAAATAAGTTGACTTTGCAGAGTCACACACTTGTAAATATTGTCCTTTTTTTTTTTTTTTTTTTGAGATAGAGTCTCGCTCTGTCGCCCAGGCTGGAGTGCAGTGGCGCAATCTCAGCTCACTGCAAGCTCTACCTCCCGGGTTCACGCCATTCTCCTGCCTCAGCCTCCCGAATAGCTGGGACTACAGGTGCCCAACACCACACCCGGCTAATTTTTTGTATTTTTAGTACAGACCGGGTTTCACTGTGTTAGCCAGGATGGTCTCGATCACCTGACCTTGTGATCTGCCTGTCTCGGCCTCCCAAAGTGCTGGGATTACAGGCATGAGCCACCACACCTGGCCTTTTTTTTTTCTTTTTAAAGACAGGGTCTCACTCTATTGCCCAGGCTGGAGTGCAGTGGCATGATCTTGACTCACTGCAGCCTCGACCTTCAACCTCCAGGGCTCAAGCAACACTCCTGCCTCAGCCTCCCGAGAAGCTAGGACTACAGGTGCGTACCACCATGCCTGGCTAAATTTTGTATTTTTGGTAGAGATAGGGTTTTGCCATGTTGTCCAGACTGGTCTTGAACTCCTGAGCTCAAGGGACCCACCTGCCTTACCTTCCCAAACTGTTGGGATTACAGGCGTGAGCCATGGCACCCAGGCTAAAATTGTTCTTTCTAAAACTACAATTTCTGCATTGAGTTAATTAGTGTACTTTCCTCTGTGGTTTCCCTTTTGTCAGAATGCTATTTTATTCACTAGCCTTGGGCAGCTTAATTCATCTGAGATTTGCATTTAAGAAACTGAGGGCGCCGGGCGCGGTGGCTCAAGCCTGTAATCCCAGCACTTTGGGAGGCCGAGGCGGGTGGATCACGAGGTCAGGAGATCGAGACCATCCTGGCTAACACGGTGAAACCCCGTCTCTACTAAAAATACAAAAAACTAGCCGGGCGTGGTGGCGGGCGCCTGTAGTCCCAGCTACTCGGAGGCTGAGGCGGGAGAATGGCGTGAACCCGGGAGGCGGAGCTTGCAGTGAGCCGAGATCGCGCCACTGCACTCCAGCCTGGGCGACACAGCGAGACTCCGTCTCAAAAAAAAAAAAAAAGAAAGAAACTGAGGGCTAGGCACAGTGGCTCAGGCCTGTAATCCCAGCACTTTGGGAGGCCGAGGCGGGCAGATCACGAGGTCAGGAGATTGAGACCATCCTGGCTAACATGGTGAAAACCCGTCTCTACTAAAAATATAAAAATTAACCGGGCATGGTGGCAGGCGCCTGTAGTCCCAGCTACTCAAGAGGCTGAGGCAGGAGGCAGAGCTTGCAGTGAGCCAAGATTGCGCCACTGCACTCCAGCCTGGGTGACAGAGCGAGACTCCGTCTCAAAAAAAAAAAAAAAAAAGCAGCTGCCAAACTGGGGCGGATCACCTGAGGTTGGGAGTTCGAGACCAGCCTGGCCAACATGGTGAAACCCCGTCTCTACTAAAAATACAAAAAACTAGCCGGGCGTGGTGGCGGGCGCCTGTAGTCCCAGCTACTCGGAGGCTGAGGCGGGAGATGGCGTGAACCCGGGAGGCGGAGCTTGCAGTGAGCCGAGATCGCGCCACTGCACTCCAGCCTGGGCGGCACAGCGAGACTCCGTCTCAAAAAAAAAAAAAAAAAAAAAAAGAAACTGAGGGCTAGGCACAGTGGCTCAGGCCTGTAATCCCAGCACTTTGGGAGGCCGAGGCGGGCAGATCACGAGGTCAGGAGATTGAGACCATCCTGGCTAACATGGTGAAAACCCGTCTCTACTAAAAATTGGCATGGTGGCAGCGCCTGTAGTCCAGCTACTCAAGAGGCTGAGGCAGGAGGCAGAGCTTGCAGTGAGCCAAGATTGCGCCACTGCACTCCAGCCTGGGTGACAGATCGAGACTCCGTCTCAAAAAAAAAAAAAAAAGCAGCTGCCAAACTGGGGCGGATCACCTGAGGTTGGGAGTTCGAGACCAGCCTGGCCAACATGGTGAAACCCCGTCTCTACTGAAAATACAAAAATCAGCCGGGCATGGTGGCACATCCCTGTAATTCCAGCTACTCGGGAGGCTGAGGCAGGAGAATTGCTTGAACCCGGGAGGCGGAGATGGCGCCACTGCACTCCAGCCTGGGCAACAGAGCAAGACTCTGTCTCAAAGAAAAAAAAAGAATGAAAGAAACTGAGAAGAAAAATATGATCCAAGCAGCATTTCCTATAAGCTCCCCATAGTAAATTTTGCTTCAAAACTAATTTGGGGGTATCTGCATAGAGTTTCTGGCCAGCAATAATTGAGCAAGAAGAGTAAAAGATAATCTCTTTTGTGGGGAATGAATAGGGTCTTCATCTCTAGGTATGCTGGATGTTTTCTTTCTTTCCTTCCAGATTACACTCCTCTATTCTGTAGGCTGTTCTCTGTCCTGGGAGACTGACCTATATGAACATCAATGGGCTTCCTGTGCTTTGGCATCCAGTTGGATTCAGCCAATAGGGAGCCCTGACAGGAGACTGGGGAAAGAGAAAAGACTTAAGTCAATGTATTGACATCTGCCAGGTGCAGTGGTTCACTCCTGTAATCTCAGCTACTCGGGAAGCTGAGGCACGAAAATCACTTGAACCTGGGAGGCAGAAGTTTTGGTGAGCTGAGATCACACCACTGCACTCCAGCCTGCGACTCTATCTCAAAAAAAAAAAGAAAAAAAAAAAAGTCACTGCTTCTCTCAAGGCACTCTCCCCCTCCAGGACCTAGAAACCAATAACTCCTTTTATCTTTTTAGGCCTAATACAGTTATTAGCCTCCAGTTACTGACCTATCTATCCTTTGTCCATATCTTTAAAAATAGCCCTTCATTATTTTGAGAATGTTGTTTCCTGTTGAGATCCTGTCCGATACACCTGGTAAAGGTAGGTGATCTTTTAGATTTATAGGCTTCATATTTTATCCATGTACTTGAACCTTACTCTCATACATATAACCTTATATTTTTTTTTTTTTTTTTTTTTTTTTTGAGACGGAGTCTCGCTCTGCCGCCCGTGCTGGAGTGCAGTGGCCGGATCTCAGCTCACTGCAAGCTCCGCCTCCCGGGTTCCCGCCATTCTCCTGCCTCAGCCTCCCGAGTAGCTGGGACTACAGGCGCCGCCACCTCGCCCGGCTAGTTTTTTTGTATTTTTTTAATAGAGACGGGGTTTCACCGTGTTAGCCAGGATGGTCTCGATCTCCTGACCTCGTGATCCGCCCGTCTCGGCCTCCCAAAGTGCTGGGATTACAGGCTTGAGCCACCGCGCCCGGCATATAACCTTATATTCTTATGAGCCAACAGTTCTGAAAGGTCAACTGCTGGATTAAGTAGCAGAGAGCGACACATACCTGTGTGGTTCTCATGGATGGGACAGTGACATCAAGGAGTTAAAAACCTGAGAGACAGTAATAGCTCAGGCCCTTGTGACTTAGCCCCCAAAGAACCCAAGATGTTGAACAGATTTTCAAGCACTGTGACTGTGGAACCTTCTGTGTTTCAAGTCCCCAAAGCCTTACACAAACTGATGGACTCTGACTGCTGGGGCCCTGGTTTCTCCATAACCTCCCAGGATGCCTCTGAGAAATCAGCTTAGAAATCCCTGAGGATGATGATTCTATCCTACTGTTGGCACATTCTAGTTTCCTCAAGACAAAAACTGAGCTAATAGTATGATTAAAAAAAAAAAAAAAGTATTAGCAGATTTCTTGAGGTCATATTTATCCTTCTATTGTCAGGGATAATTTATTTGAATTCATCCTCCTAATTGATTATTCACTACTCTCTATCAGGGAGAGGTATCTGTATTAATGAACTGCATATTTGGTGGAAGTCTACTTTCTTTTGGGTAAATAATTTTCTCACAAAGCACTTAATTTAAATATATATATATTCATATGGCACTTTACAAATCCCTGTTGCCATATGTTCTTTCCATTCCTTACCAAAAAAACAGCCTCAAAGAGGTTGGTTGAATTGCCAAGGTCACATAGAAAACAACGGGTAGAGATCCAGGACTGTTGCTCTCAATGCAACATGATTACTTCTGTTAGCTCTGAGAGTTCAGTTTAGATACTCTTTTTTTTTTTTTTTTGAGACGGAGTCTGGCTCTGCCGCCCAGGCTGTAGTGCAGTGGCCGGATCTCAGCTCACTGCAAGCTCCGCCTCCCGGGTTTACGCCATTCTCCTGCCTCAGCCTCCCGAGTAGCTGGGACTACAGGCGCCCGCCACCTCGCCCGGCTAGTTTTTTGCTAGGTTTCACCGGGTTAGCCAGGATGGTCTGGATCTCCTGACCTCGTGATCCGCCCGTCTCGGCCTCCCAAAGTGCTGGGATTACAGGCTTGAGCCACCGCGCCCCGCCTAGATACTCTTTGGCTAAAGAAGTCACCATAGTGATAAATACTAATAAATGAACATACTTTATAATTAAACTACAACCAGGACTTTAACCTATAAATTACTGCTGCCTGCAAAGAATTACAAGATTAAATTTCCATTGTATGTATCTCTCTTTTAGGTCTATATGTAAACCTTAGGATCATTTACCCTTTTTGTTTGTGACCACCTTCAAGGCAAGAACTATATTTGAGTTTTGTCCCTCAGAGGACTGTGAAAGGCTGCAGCCTTGAAATTTTTCCTTGTCCTTGCTTTAAAATCTCGGTTTGAAGAGGATAATGAAGTCAAGTGACTGGATTCTCTACTCCTTCCTTGCTTGCTTTCCTCCAGTATCTAGGAAACTAGCACTGGCCCCGAGGCACCTTGGTTTAAGTAAGGCACCCCATACGGGAAAAACTGAGACCTAAAGGACCACTTCAACCTGGTGAAACAAGCGCCACGCAAAAAGAGGTCAGACTCTGGAGGACAACCAAATTTGGCCAGACAAGCTTAACTGAAATGGGAGTAATGTTCAGAGAGCATTAAAAAAAGCCCTGAGGGTAAAATCTATAGATGAAAAGTATAAGGATACAAAGGGAAAGAGATTGCCTAGTGAAAACAGATCGCAAAGTTAGGAATAGGAATAGCTTATGCGCTAGTCTGAAGAAATTACTGTCTCACAAGATACCATGCCGTTGCCTTTAGAAAGCGTTTTCACATTCTAGTACTTGAGCTTCTCAAACCCATTTTTCAGATGAACAAATGGAGGCTCCGGGTGAAGTTTTGACCAATCATGATCACAAATAATAAAGCGCGGAACTAGAAACAACTTCAGGCTTCTTCCTCAAATTGTTCTCAGCAGTTTCCCGCCAAGGACATTTAGGTAGCAAACGGGAAGGGGACTGGTGAGGCTTCCTTAGCAGCAAGGGTTGGCTCGGCCCCCAGGCGGCGCCAGCGGGAGAATGTGGGGCTCGAACTGGGCGGACATTGCAGCCAAGTGCGGGTGAAAAACCCCATTTGCAAATTCGCATCAGCTCGGCTGGGCACGGTGGCTGACGCCTGTAATCCCATCACTTTGGGAGGCCGAGGCGGGCGGATCACGAGGTCAGGAGTTCAAGACCAGCCTGACCAACATTATGAAACCCCGTCTCTACTAAAAATACAAAAATTAGCCGGACGTGGTGATGCATGCCTGAAATCCCTGGTACTTGGGATGCTGAGGCAGGAAAAATGCTTGAACCTGGGAGACGGAGGTTGCAGTGAGCCGAGATCAGGCCTCTGCACTCCAGCCTGGGTGACAGAACAAGACCCTGTCTCCAAAAAATAAAAATAAAAATTCGCACCAGCTGCCGCCTGCGTTAGGCCTTAAGCGTCGTTAGCGCGAGGGTGGTGGGCGGGGCAGGTGGTCCTGTTCGTCCCTCTCATTGGTGTCGGGGATAATGGACAGATATCCGCAGCCAGTCCCAACCGGAGCAAAAGGAGCACCACGACAGCCACACGCTACCTGGTCCTGAGCGCGCGGAGCTCGAGCGCGGCAGCGGCTTCTTGGGGGGTGGCTAAGCGTGCGTGTGACGCCGCGCGAGCTCTCGTCGCCGGTCCAGCTCTCCGCGGGGTCCTCGGCTTAGGGAAGAGCTGGGGGCAGACCCTTGCCTCCGACAGGGCCGAATCCTTTGCTGTTTTTTTGCAGCCTACCCCTCATGCGACCCCAAATCTTCCAGCCAAATTCTCCTCAGGACAAGATTTTCTGATGTGGAACTTCAAAGTAACGTACGCTGTAGCTTCATTTTATTTCTCAAAAAATTCCCTCCGCCGCCCCATCCCATAGACTAGGCCTTTAAGAAAGTCCCTCTTACCTCGATCCAGAAACGAGCTCCGAGGGCCTTCCCCAGCCCCAACTAAACTTTACGGGGTCTCCCGGGCCCTGGCTCACCTCGACACCATTAGTTCGCTCGTCTCCTTTAGGAAACCTTTCCAGACTCCCCCCGCGGCGAGACCGCAGCCATCCCCTTTCCCGGGAGAGCCCAGGGCCCAGATAAAGGCAGAGGGCGAGGGCGCCCAGAGCGAGCCGACCGACTGCCGCCCTCCCCTGCCCGAGTAAAGTCAGGCAGCGGCTGCGGACACGGCTGTATTGGGAAGCGGAGGCTCCTACACAGTAGGAGAGGCACGTCCCAGACCCGGGAGGCCCGAGGACTCTGGACACAGCGCGCGCGGCCCGCCCGGGGCCCAGTCTCTGCGGGAGCCCCGAGGGGCGAGTTAAGGCAGCTTGGCTGGAAGGGAGCGGGGAGTGGGAGTCCGCCAGCTCCCCCCGAAATGCTGGCTCACTGAGGGGACGGGCTTCTCACCTCCCACTCCTCTCTCGAGGACAGGGGGAAAGACAGTCAATAAATAAACCCGAGGCGAAAAGGGGCCACGGGAGACTCTGCGAGTCGGGAAGGCTGGAGGTGCGGGGCGAGGGGGCGGTGAGACGTCCTGAAGAGCGTCCAGCTCGCGGCCGAGAGGACTCGGGCGCCCCCCACGCTGGAGGCTGTGGGCTGCTCCCTTTAAAAGTTGAAACGGCCGCCGTTCGGGACGGCCTGGCGGGAGGAGGGCCTGACGAGGGGAGGCTTCGGGGACAACTGGGGCTTCTCGACGTCCACCCTCTTCAGGGCGCGGCCCCGGTAGCCCTCTGGCCGGCCCGGGTACAGGAGGTGCCTCCCGGGACCCCCGGAGTACCTGGAGGGACCTCCCGAGGGGACTCGAGTGAGCAGGGCAGGGGGAGCCCGGTGGCCGGAGAAAGGTAACCTCCGGCCTCCGCCGACGCCCAGCCGGGGAGCGGGGGCGGAGAGCGCGGGCCGGGCGGGGGCAGAGGCGCACCTGCCCTCGGGGGGCACGTCCAGCCTCAGCGGCGGGGCACACTCGTGGGACCTGGGGCTGGGACAGCCCAAGAGGGCGGGGGCGGGCTCCGGCGGGAGCACCCGCGAGGTTAAAGGGGCGGGGGGCTCGGCCCCCTTTCTGGGCGGCTGCGGGCCGTGCAGGTAGCGCAGCAGTTCCTCCAGGGTGGTGACTTCCACGGCCTGCCCGGGACAGCCGGGCGGCGGCGGCCTCACCAGCACTCGGGGCGCAGGCCCGCCCGCCGCGTGCCCGCCCCGTGAGCGGCCCGGGCCCTCCTTGGCGTTGTTCCTGTTCTGGTTCCACTCCCAGGGGTCCCCGGCGGCGCGGAGGTGCTTGACCGGCAGCTCCGGCGTGGACTCGGGGGTGGGCAGGCAGGTCAGCTCCGGCGGGGGCACGCCCTCCGGAGGCGGCAGGAAGGTGGTGTAGAGCTGCGGCGTCTGCACCGCGTCCCCGTCCTTGGACGGCGGCGGGGGCTCTGGGCCCCCACCGTGGAGCCGGGCCAAACTGCGGAGGGAGAGAGGGCGCGGGAGCCCCGGAGTCTCGATGTCCTTGCCCCGACGTCGGTGGGCGCGGCGACAAGCACAGGAGACCAGGAGGCCAGAGACTGAGGCGCCCAGGGCAAAAGCTGCGGCCACACTGGCCAGGAGGAGTGGGATGGGGACCGAGCGGGAGGCCGAGGCTGGGGGCAGGTCCCGCCGCACGCCTGCCGACCGAGAGGGAGGAGGGAGGCTCAGCCAAGGGGAGGCGGTGCGGGGCACCTAGGCCCAGAGGCGCCGCCGGCAGTTCCCAGGCCTGACATCATCGTCCCTCCCGCTGCTACTCAGCCTCACTCCCACAGCCTTCGCCATCCTCAGGATTCACCTCCCCTGACCCCTCAGCATACAGCCCACGCACTACCCCTCACACTCAGGCCAGAGCTTGGGCCTGGGGATTCCCCATCCCACTTCTGGCCTCTGTAGCCATGCCAAGAGCAACTGCCAACAACTGCTCCTGCAGGAGGACTTGGGGCTGGGATGCCCAATTCTGGGGAGGGGAGGCTCCAAACAGGCGTTAGTGAGCACCAAACACCAGTCAGTGAGGGGCTTAGAACGCTCCGAGAATCAGCAGCCCCACACTTCACTCCTGTCCCTCCCAGGTAGCCCTCTTACCCCGAGTGTGAGCTCCAAGAGTGGAAGACTGGGGCCGGGGGTGGGCATCACTGGGGGGACTGGGGGTCCCAGGGGAAGGGCCAGGACCCGGAAGCACTGGTGGCAGAGACCAGGTCAGAGCCAGTGAGGCTCCTAATCTCTACCCCTGACACCCTTCCAGGGGTCCTTCCTCCCTCCTGTGGAACGCCAGCCTCTAGTTTCTTCTGGGCCTGGGGGAGGGCTCATCATGCAGGACATTGATTTATTTGTTCAAAAAGTACCCTACTGTGTGCCAAGTACTGAGCTACATGCTGGGTATCTGGAGGATGCCGACCCTTTTCCGATACTCCCAGGGTATTCAGAATGCTGCTCTGCTGCTACCACAGGACATACACTCAGGTATGTGGGCTGAGCAAGGGAAGGTGAAGTTGGGACAAGAGGACTCACCATAAGCAGAATCCCCAGGGCCAGACTGACTCCCAGTAGCTCCGTCTATGAAGAAGGGAGAGGGTGAAGATGGGGGGAAGGAGAAGCTTCATGAAGAATTGATGGGGTGACTGTGCCACAGAAGGAGAGAAGGACAAAAGCCCAAGCCTGGGATGGTGTCTGTGGCCATCATGGCCATGTGCAGCTTTGGCGGCAACCGCAGCCGCCTCTTCTGTTTACCTTGGCAGTCACCATGCTCCATGGATTCCTGGTTCCCAGCCTGATCCACATCAGTCCTAGGAGGAAAACGAAGTGGCTCTAGAATTCTGCACCTTGTCCCTATCTCCCACTCTGGCCCTCAGCTCTTAGTGGTGGGGAATTTTATGCTCAGGAAGCCCAAGGACCTGTCACTTACCCACCAGGTTCCCTGATATCCACACAGCCCCTGGAGCTATGCCATCCACAGTATGGGTCCTGAGAAGCCAAGCAGCTCCTAGGGAAAACAGGTGTGTGAGGCTGGATCCCCTTCTACTCCAGTCACTTTCCATTCTGCTGCCTCTTCCCACCCTGGCTTACAGGAGTCTCTCAGCCTCATTCTCTCCTGTCCACCTCAGTCTCTCCACACCCTGGTTGCTGCCCACCTTCAGAATGCTTGAGGTACCTACACACCCCGCAGCCATCCCCTGTGTTTCTCTGCCACCCCAAAGACCTTCGTTTCTGTGCTCTTGCTGGCCCGGGGAGCTTGCCCACACAGGGCCTGGCCTCAGGCCCCTCTCACCTCTGACAGGCCCCATGCCGGGCACACCGGCTGAGAGGGAGGTAGACAATACAGCCAGAAAAAGCCACAAAGAGCCTGTGACCCTCAGTGTCCAGCTCCAGCCCTATGATCCGTCGTGCTGTTTGGGCTGCCCGCTTCCCACTGCACCTAGGGTGAGGCCAAAAGGAACCAGAGATGGACAGATGAGGCTACCTTTTCCCTGCGTGAGTGGAAGAACAGAAAGGGGGGAGGCGCACAAGCAACTGAGCATAACCCATGGAGCTGCCCTGCCCTACCACACTGTCCAGTCTTCTCGCCAAGCCTCTCTAACCCAGAGCTCCCACCCTGCAAAAGCCAATGTTTTTGATGTTTCCAACCTATTCCCACATCTGCTGCTGCTACTCCCATCCCATCCCTGCTCTGCAGGGAGCCTCCCCTCCAAAGGCCTCACCGGGCAGGGCTGTAGGCATCAATCTCTTCCAGGAGGATGGGCTCAGGTCCCCCGGATCGCCCACCTGGGGGCAGCACCTTCAGCACTGTCCCATCGTTGGAGCCAAGGAACATGACTGTGATGTTACTGTGGGGACCAGCCATGCCATCCACAGCTACTTGGGTCAGTAAGGCCCTGGAGGAAAGGGCCTCAGGTCA